CTTCAGGTACATTTACCTTGGAACCCAGCTTTGAGAAGATGCATGTAAATATCTTCTTCAAGGTCACCTAAATCATACTTTGTATCTTGCTCAAATTTTATAAATTGTGTTTAATTTCAAGTATGCCTTGCTGAAACAAGCTTCTTTCAAGCTTACTAACATAATTAGTCTGATTAATTATATTAATAATCCTGGTCATGCCACCACACTCTTTGTATAAGTATTTGGCATCAACTAATAAGAAAGATGTTTCTGGCACTCATTTCGCTTAAATGTCTGTTATAGATAAAAACCTTATTACAATTCATTCGCATGATGAATGAAAACAAATATGCTCACTTTGGCATTCATGATTTATGCCGTGTTTTGTGGCACCTAATGATGGAGTTTTAGTCCAAAACACATAGAAGGCACCGGTTATGTAACCAGTCATGCTGAACATGACATAATTCATTCTAAAAATATTTTCCCCTTTATTCTATTGTATACCTCCCACTATCTTATTATTTCTTTGTTAATTTTAATGCATTTGTCTTACTGTTTTAATCTTCTATAATATTGTTTTATCACACTGAATGTAAACTGTCCAAAGTCATGTGACAGTGAGATGGGAAGCCAATAAATTTGATACATAAATAAATAAAAATAAAACATTCTATAGGTATTTTATTATGTATATATTCTTCCCAAATTTTGAATAAATGTATTTTTATATAGCACTATTATTTCTGTCGTGATGGACTCTTGTGACGAGCCGATTGACAGATGATGGAAGCAGTTAGCTTCCTCCCATAATTGGGGCTTACCAGGGGTTGTGACACTAATATATACCTTCTTCCCTGGCTTCAGCTGATAAGGAGGAGACCTGTGGCTTGATGGCTAAGACGTTTGCCTAAGATGCAATACAGCACAGGTTCGAATCCCAGTAAGGGTATGGCTAGCTGATGAGAGCTAAATAGCTTGAAATAGATCTATACTAGTGTCCCTTTATTTATTTATCAGCACAAATAAACACACACACACACACACACACACACACACACACATATATATATATATACACACACACACACTGTCAAACTATAATGAATCAATGTCTCTCAGATCACTAGGAATAATTCAGAATGTGGAGGTTTATATCTAATTTAATTTTGCTTAGTTATAAAATATTTCAAACCAATAAGGTATTTTAAAACCAGAACACTTATACCCAACTATGCAAAGCAGCTGACTAAAGTGTCTTTCAAATTTCACACTCAAACTATTTAATATTGCAACAGCTGCTTTAGTCATTTGTTTGTCACACTTCAATAATTTTTACTTTTATTTACAACCAAATCACATCTATGATAGCTTTATGATTGCTCGTAAGCTATGATATTTAATGTAAACGTGTCTAGGAATCAAGAAGAAAAAGGTCTGGCAATTTAAAAGGAGGTTAATAAATCTTCTTGAGAGAGTATCTTTCTCATTACTTCATATGTTAAGATCATTTCCTGCTACTAATTACTCTCATTTCTAATCACTACATTCTAGATCTAGAGTCCCCAAAGTTGACTTTAAAAAGGGAAGAAGGAATTATCATATTTAAACAACTTTAATGATATAATTTGTTCTTCAATATAAATTTCCATGCTAGTTTGTACATCATGCAAAAATCATGATTTTTAAAAAGTGCATAGTGATTTGTTTTTACAATTTACAAATAATAATGAGTTATACATCTTGCTAAGCCAACCCATCACCCAATAAATTACTAGAATATTATATGAACTTGAACAATGTTATTTGTGTGTTATCAATTTGCTACTTGGCACTGGCAGTTCTCTGTATGTTCTTCTGTCTAGCATGTCATGTTCTTAGGTAAACTAAGTCAATCTATTTTTTGCCCTTCTTCTTTCTGACATGCTCATAATTCAGTTAGTAGCTATGTTTAGCTTTTTCTATAAAGAGAAAATATAGACCTGGGTTTTGTCTTATCAGTATGAAGGCTAAATATTTAGTTCTATTCTTTGGCCTCTGTCCTATACATTCTTACATTAGAGCTTACTGTTGAGTAGACATCTATAAGATTATACCATATAACATCTGGTATATTCAAATTCACCAGATACGAATGTCAATATATCAGAATTTTATACCAAAATTTTAGATTTCAAAATTCACAGAATTTTGAAATCTAAATTCCATCCTATAATTTCACAGCTTTAGGTTTAATGTCACTAAACATCTTGCATAATGACAGTGAAATCAGTTAAATTAATGTGAATTGAACTATGATTAATGTAAGAAACTATGTGCAACTGTTCATGTTTGATAAAAAAGTAAAACAATTCTATGAATTAAAATCTATGTGCCATTTGAGGTTTTCAATTTTAAATATGCTCATAAATTCATTGAAAGAGGCTTGTTATTAGCAAGACTGTTACTTATTACATCTTTCAATATATTTTTAGTATTTGACAATTAAGTACGTCAAAAACTTTTATACACCTACAGAAAGATACATCCAGAAAGTGAATATATGAATCACTACTCTGTAATGATTCATATATTTGACAATTAAGTACGTCAAAGACTTTTATACCCCTACAGAAAGATACTACATCCAGAAAGTGAATATATGAATCACTACTCTGTACAGCATTAGACTATAAAGTAACAGAAGCATACAATATATCCATTATATACAGCCCTGGGGGTGTAGCGGTTAGAGTGCAGTATTGCAGGCGAACCTTGCCCACAGCCAAGAGTTTGATCCTGATGGGGGCTCAAGGCTGATTCAGCCTTCCATCCTTCCAAGGTAGATAAAATGAGGACCCAGATTCATATAACAATGCACTGACTTTCAGTAGGCTTCTGGATGCAATTAAAGCTGCTACACATCCACTGCCAGGGTATTTGAGGGACCACATTTCTACCATCCCATCAGAGCTAGAAGAGAAGACATGCTCTGGATTCCCTCTATTAAAAAATATCATCTTCCTGGACCAAAGGGTCCTGCCTTCTCAATGGCGCAACCTGCCCTGTGGAACAGCTTCCCACCAGAAGGTCAGATGGCCTGTTAACCTTTGCAAGATATTGAAGATTGATCATTTCCTAGGCATTCAGATCAACGGGTAGATGGTGACACCACTGACGGTGAGTGGGATTAACAATTTATTCTTGGGCATCAGAGGGATATGTTAGGGTAGTTTGTTTTAATTCTGTAAACTGCTCAGAGGTGACTTGTGTGAGAAGGAGAGCAATGCAAATGATATAAATAAATAAAATATTCTCCCACATGAGGTTGGCTATACACTGAGGTCATCACTGGAAGTCCTCTTTCAGATATTCCTTTCTGATTTTTAAACCGTGATGAAAAACAAACATGTAAAAGGGTCTCTCCTTTTCTCCAATTAAGGCTTAAATACCTGGGTTACAAGCAGAGGTGGTATTCAGCAGATTCTGACCAGTTCTGGAGAACCGGTAGCAGAAATTTTGAGTGGTTCAGGAAACCAGTAAATACCACCTCTGAATGGCTCCGCTCCCAGCTATTCTCTGCCTCCCGAGTTCCAGCTGATTGGTAGGAAATTGGGATTTTGCAGTAACCTTCCCCTGAAGTGGGGAGGGAATAGATATTTTGCAGTATCCTTCCCCTGCCACACCCACCAAGCCATATCATAACCCACCAAGCCATGCCCACAGAACTGGTAGTAAAATTTTTGAATCCCACCATTGGTTGCAAGACTCCTGTCAATTATTAATGGCAGGCATACAACACAGAAACTATTTAATCATGGCTACCCTATCCCAGTTGTCTGAATTTATGTCACCCAAATTTGGTAGACTTATCTCAGACTATTAAAAATTCATCCAATAATAAGCAAGCTTTTCAAATTTTAATCCTCTTAGTTTGCACAGGATATCTACTCCTTAAGAGAAGGAAACAATTTTTGATTATCTTTATCAATCATCTGCAGTGGGAAGCAGACAATGATCTAATCTCAGCAGCAACCTACTAGTATTCCCATGTAATATATATTTAAAAATAAACAAAAATAAAATAGGTGTTTTAGTATGGGTTATACAAAATTATACTGGTATATAAAAGTAAGCATAAAGAGTGGAGATATTATTTCCCATTTTTGTTCTACAGACCTTCTTAGAATAGCAGAATTAGGAAAATGGATTCAAATGCCTTACAAAACACAATATAAAATCTTTGTCCTAATAGGGTACAAGTTGTTATTTTCAGATTTATAAATTCAGTCTCCAGTTTTATGTTTTATGTCTCCAGAAAATGAAATTCTTAACTCTCAAAGCCAGAAACAGTCTGTTCTACAGATTGCCTGCTCATCCATAATTCAGGACTATAGACTAAAAAAAAAAGTATTGTACATAAGCACAACAGAAGTGAAATCTTTTAAAACTCCTGCTTGATCTACCTGACTTGCAGGAGGAATCAGCTATTACAAACTGAATCCTTTTTGTTTTGAGAAGTAAGAAAATAAGCAAAAAGATTTAGAATATACTAATAAATGCTATATATCTCTCCCAACTTTGTTCTTAAACAGTATGAATATGTGTCAATACTATTCAATATAATTTGAATTACAAATTCAAATATTTAAAGAAACCAATTTGTAAATATATTGCAAAATATTAGCCTCCATTTCTTCTTTATGGCCAACAATATTCCAGTGGACAATGATAAAAAATTAGAAATCTAAATAGGCAAAATTATAGACTGTCAAACTTCTTGGAATTCCTTGAAAACTTAATTCTCTCTATGGATACTAGAGTATTCTTGAGAGGACAGCAGAAAGAAAGAAACAGATGCCACTTCAGAAATAACTTCAGAAAAGTGAATGTAGCATATAGGAGGAAAGACTAATCAAATTTTAAACATTCAGGTTAGATACTTAAAAGTATATGTATTTAGGCTCTACACACAACAGATCCCTATGTTTCACCGAGAACTCAAAATAAACCTTTTATGTTCTGTTTTAATCACTTACCTTGGAGTCTCTGCATCACTCCAGCAATATCTCGAGATGTTCTTCCTGCTAGTCTTGAAGATGCCACTGTGCCACGTGGCAATGGTGTTGTTTTTTTCTGCATGGTTAACTATCTGATGTGATGTTTCAACAGTTCTTTTTATAAAGCATTAGTTGCAGAATGGCATGCTATAGCAAGTCATGGCAGCTTTAAAAAGTAGACACATAGGTGTCTGGCTTGGTACTGTTTTAGGATTGTTCTCATCCAGTAACTTGCAATTCAGGCCTGAAAAGATATAGAAATGCACAAGAAAGTTTGAGAGAACACCTATATATTGGTATAAAAACAGTTTCCAGACTTTCACTAGATCAGACATTTAGAAATCTGGTTGATTGGCTTTTCCATGTGACTTAATATCATGAATTGCATTGGTAAAATAGAACAAGAAATCGTGTACTACATCAACACTAAGAATTACAAGTTATTGCGAGCTTATATTTTGAGCAAACCTTAGAATTCACATTAATGCAACACAGTAGATCCAAATGTGAAGTTTAATGTCATTATTCCAGAAAGGTTTAAGTGGTTAGAAAATGAATATAATAGAACACACTATTTAATGGAGATCTCAATTACTTTGAGATTGCAACCGAGACTACTATAATAACAATACCAGAAAAAAACAGGTTCCTTTCGAAAGGCTCATATGTGAGGAAAGAAAGGTATCTGAGACCAGCTGAGGCTCTCATAAATGTTTTCATCCACTTTACTATTTTACATGCTTTTTACCACATATTTGACAGAAGTACCGGGTAAGGAGTGTGGGGGTGCTGCAGAGGAATGGAGGAGCCGGACGGGGGGGGGGGGGGGGAGGCTATGGAGGCCTGACAGAGCCTGCATGCAAATGTGTTGTGACCCGCCAGCGGCCAGCAGAGCTAGCAGCAGAGTTGGACAGTGGGGAGGTTGGGGAGGAACATTGGCCAGTCCTAGAGTCTGGGGAATGCTCAGTCGAGGGCTCTGCATCGGAGACAGAGAGGGGATCAAGGCCATCTGGTAGTTATCTGCTGCCTCCAGAACCTCCAGAGTCTGACATCAGTGAGGCAGAAGAACAGCAGGAAAATGTTCCCAGAGTGCGCATGCACAGAGCTTCTAGAAGGCAAGAACAATTAAGAAAACAGGGTCGACTTGGGAGCTTTTTCAAGCTTTGAAAAGTTCTGTATGACTCTGTGCTAAGTTTGGCCTTTCTCTGCATTTGGCAATTACCGTATTTTTCGGAGTATAAAATGCACCCTTTTCCCTCAAAAAAGAGGCTGAAAATCTGGGTGCGTCTTATACACTGAATACATCATTTTTTGCCTCCCGAAACCCCGCCTCCTTCAACAAAATGGCTGTGCAGAGCCTGTAGAAGGCTTTCAGAGAGCTCCCGGGGGCTGGGGAAGGCAGAAAGGAGTGAAAAATGGGCCATTTTTTGCTCACTTCCCCCCCAGTCCCCAGGAGTACTCTATAAGCCTCCTAAAAGCTATGCATGCAATTTTTCATGAAAAACCGGCCATTTTCTGTTCGTTTTGGGGAGCCCCACCCTCCAGGAGCACTCTGCAAGCCCCCTAAAGGCTATTCATGCCTTTTGGGGGGGAACGGGCCCGTTTTTGTGAAAAACAAACTGTTTTTGGGAGGTTTGCAGAGTGCAAAAACTTTTTTTTTAATTTGCCTCTTCAAAACTTTGGTGCGTCTTATACTCCGGTGCATCTTATATTCTGAAAAATACAGTAGGTCTCTGGCAGCATTCCAAGGAAGATAAGGTGGGTGTTTATCAACATTCCCCTGAAAGACTGTAGCAACTCGAGCAGACATCTGTCAGAATCTTCACAGACTGTTTGTGAAGCCTTGTGGACTGTGAATGGCCATAATTCATAGCCGTATAAATAAAAGAGGGTTTTTGGGACTAAGACTGTGATTTATGCTTTCTCAGGAAGGTCAGAAGGGCAAGGAAGGCCTGATGCAGGTTGCTCATCAGTTGAGGGAGGGTTGGTAGAAGTTGCATGCAGACCGGAGGGTGCTAGAGGCAGGACCAACTTCCGAACTGATTTGCAATCATCCCTGCTGGCTTCCCCATTAAATTGCTTGTGAGAAGTCAGCAGGGAAGGATGCAAATGGCAATATTGTGATTGTAGCACTCTGCAATGTTGTAATTGTGAGCCTGACCTGAGACTCCAGATCACAATCATGTGACCCCATTTCAGCTGCAATGGTCAGAACATTGAGAACTGGTCATACGTCTATTTTTTTCAGTGCTGCTATACAGGTAGTCCTCGAAATACGACCATAACTGAGCCAAAAAATTTCTGTTGCTAAATGAGACATTTGTTAAATTAATTTTGCCTCACTTAGCAACCTTTCTTGCCATAGTTGTTCAGTGAATCACTGCTATTGTTAAATTAGTAACACGGAGTAAGTGGACCTTGTTTGTCAGAAGGTTGCATACAGTGATCACATGATCCCAGGACACTACAACTATCAAATATGAACTAGTTGCCAAGCATCCAAATTTCTACCGCATGACTGGGGATGCTGCAACAGTCGTAAATGTGAAAAACAGTCATAAGTCACTTTTTTCAGTGCCGTTCTAACTTTGAATGGTCACTAAACTATTATAACTTGATGACTACCTGTAATTTTGAGCAGGCACTGAACAAATGGATGTAATTTGAAAATTTGAAAACTTTATTAAGATGAGCTGTTGATTGATAGTTAATTTTATCAAGTTTATCCACTTTATTAGAGTGTACTAAAGGTCTTTCTCACCTACTATTAAGGGAGGGTCTTTCCCACCCACCTCCCTTGTCTCAATTAGCAGACAACTATACTGGTATGAAACTGCTGACTTTCATGCTAATGTCTATCCAGCTTCCATTGTCACTGTTCAGCCCTGCTTAGAAAAGCTGAACTGATTAACACCTTACGGCTGGATGATAGAGTTTATGGAAGGGTTGAAAGGGAAATGTATGTGTTAGACACTACATTTATACGCAGGGGTGTCAAACTGATGGCCCACAGGCCGGATGCATCACACGCAGACCACCCCCACCCCAGCTCCGCAAATGGAAAAAACATTGCAAAACATTGCAAAACATCACACGACGGCAATGTGCCATGAGGAGTTTGACACCTGTGATTTATAGCAATACTATTAAGAACAACTTAAAACTAACTCATTTATGGGGTGGGGATAAGACGAGGGCAATTGTGAAAACAAGGAAGAAAATAAACCATCTCAGTACATGATTATGCCAGGATTAAGTACAAGTAGGCACAGAGTCTAAAATTTGCAACAAACAAGCACATTTCTAAGCAAAAGAAGATTCCTACGCACAAATGTGTGGAAAAGATTTGTTATATAATACAAAAATCTATGTTTATCTTAAAAGATAGAAACTAAATTGTAATGGATAGATAAAAGAAAAAATATATAGAGGATACTACTTTAATAGAATCCTATGTCCATTTCAGCAATATGAAAAATTCAGCAAAATCACCATGCAATAATAAATTTATATTTAGTCTTGTTTATATTACTTTATTTGATACAAAATACAACTGACTTTATAGGATGAAATATTGCATATACTTGTGGCCAATTTTGTATGGTACATGAATTCCTATAGTATTTTAAAGCTACTCATAAGAAGAATCACAGGTAATTAGAATATCAGATGTACTGTCAACTAATCCAATGCCTTGCAAGAATCTATTAAACCATCCCCAACAGGTAGAAATCTCCAACAGAGTGGATTTTATCTCAGGGTTTTCTTGAGTCAGCTTAAGTATTTAATTTCAACCCCCTTTGATTTGTCTAGCCTTCAATTTCAAGAGATAACACCTCTTGCACGTGACATTTTCTATTTTGCAAGTTAAACATCTCTCTTTTATAGGGTTTTTTTGTGTATGCATGATCTATAGCTCTTTGATTAGTCTTCATAGGGCGTGGACCTATTCCAATTATGAATCTGATATCCTCTGAACCATCTTTACATTTTATATATCCTTTTTTTAAGTTTAATGCCCAGAAGAGGATTAATAATTAATATTTTATTAATTTTTATTTATTTATTCATCAAATATATATGGCTGTCCATTTCACAAAAAAATGACTGTGGGCAGTGCAAAACAATGGATACTACTCATTGTGCTACCTAAACCCTTTAAAATCTTGAAACTGTATGAGAGAGTTAGCCACCTAACTCTTGAGATTTGTTACATAAAACTAACATCTAGATTTATCTTAAAACAAATACAAATAAGGCAACCAAGGAAATTGTAAATTACTGCCCATTATCTAGACTCAGTGTTTCTGATACTCTGCATTGCAGTGCATAACCCTTTTCAATCACTGTGTAATTCTATTTGTTCATGTCCAGCCGATGGTTAGCTAAAACCCCTAGATCCCCTTCACAAGCCAGGTTTCTCCAATCCTATGCCCATGTATTTGGCATTCCCTGCCGCTTGATCTTACATCTAATATAACTGAGTATCATCCTGTTTGGATATGGCCCAATGTTCAGGACTGTAGGGGTCATTTTGAATCACGATTTTGTCCTCTAAAGAGTTAGAGCTTGGCATCATCTGCAAAATTCATAAATATTTCATCTTCTAGATCATTTACAAAGTTGCTGAGCCACACAGATTGATGGGCCATTTACAAGTGCCTTTTGGGTACGCTTCAACCTACATTTATTCATCCTGCCCTCAAAAATATCATGAGATACTTTGTCAAACATTTTACAAGGAATCCTCATTTAATAATCACTTGAAGTTATGACAGCGCTGAATGAGTGGTTGTGATGGCCCCATCGGAAGCTGATTAATAGGAGGAGCAAGAACTAAGACCATCCAATGGGGATTGCATGTCTCTCCAGGAACATCCCAAGAGCCCAGAGGCTGAGGACAATGGAGTGCTGGGCCTATCCAGCATTGGAGGAAGCGGTCGACTGGACAGGGAGATGCTTGACCTAATGAAAGCAGGTGATATATAATAGGATAAATGGCCGTCCTTGAATCAAGATCTGTGACTGACTTGTCTGTTTTTTCCCACAGATATATCAAATTTCATTGTGATATCGTTATTTTCCCCTAAGGAGCCTAATACCTTAGGTTCACTATCCAACAGAGTTTGACTGTTGTCATTTAAAATCTGGTTTTTTGAAATAAAAAAATAATTTTATATGCTCATGGTTGAAAACTAGATATTTTTTCTCTTGAAAAGTAGGCGGATTATTCTGGTGAATAGA